CAGCCTTTGTGCCCGGGGTCCTCCCGCCTGTGGGCACGGCAAGGATGCTTTGCTGAGGGATGTGGGGACACAAATCCAGCTGCACAAAGGGTTCCTGGGGGGGGAAGAGGCTCCAGACCCCGTCTCAGCCCTCTCCTCTGCCCCTGCCCAAGGAAAATGTTTTTGAAAATTAAGTTTCTTTTGCCAAAAGTGGTAGTGAGTTCTGGCACATGAGATGGGCAAAAGCTTTCAGGTCTCTACGAGAGTCCTAAACTGAATACGCAGAGCGACGTCCTGTACCAGGCACCCTCCGGAACCCAGCGAGACGTGTCCCTGTCCAAATGGTGTCCCTGCAGCCACCACGCTCCCCCCCACCGGGAAGGACAGGCAGGAGTCGAGCAAGTGTAAACAGCTGGGTAATGCTTCCTCTTGGACAGCCGCTCCCAGTCCTGCTGGCAATATTTAGCAAACACCGGCGTCTTCGTTCCCCACCCTCCTGACAGCACCGGCGCTGCCTGCCCTTTTCCCCTTGCTGCTGTGGTGACATGAAGGTGAATAAGGGGTGCAGTAACACCAGGAAGGGAGTCACAGGGGCATGAAGCCCCCATGTAGAGCCATTTCTTGCACCACCCTGGATTGCTCCAGCAAAGCACTCCCTGGCTGGCAGGGGAGCGCCGGGAGCATCGTTTCCAGGGTTCCCATGCTCCATCCCCCTCGGGTGCCAGAGGACAGCTTTCCCCCCACTTTTGGGTGTGTCAACCCACATAAATTTGCTGAAGAGCCGCTCTGCCAGCAGATATGTGCTCCCAAGCCTCCTGGGGCCATGCTGGGCACATGCAGCATCCAGCCCAGCTTTCCCAAAACCGGGTAAGGGACTCTCAGCATCCCCATACTATTGGATCCACTGGTGCTTTGATCCAAACCCAGCTGCCCCGGGGAGGCTCAGCCACGCAGATCCCTGCGGCCCCGAGCAGCCAAAGGGCAGGCGGAGGTTGCAGCTCCTGCCGGCGCTGCCATCTCTGCGTGTTGCAAACAGGCTGTGGAAAGCCACTGTGTTGCCCCTGTCGTGGAGACAAACCAGGCTTACCTCCATCAATGTGACTTTAAATGAACGCTTATTATTCAGAGGGAGTTTGGGGACGGTGGGCACTGGCATGCAAAGCCACCCACAGCGCTGTGGCTGTTGACACTGACCCAGTGGAGAGAGAAAATATTGCCCAAAGCCACCACCTCGAGCGGTCCTTGGGAAGCCACAGCCATCACCAGGATTTCGGCTCAAATGAGTCCTCCGCCCTCTGCCCCCGCTGGTGCTGGAAGCTGGTCCTCGTGCAGGAGATGTGGGACAGCACAGTCTGTCCCCCCCATCACTCCTCTCCCAGCCTGGAGTCATGAAAGCTGCCTGCTGCTGGAGTTTCAGGATCTAATTTTAATTCCAGGGCAACTTTGATAAGTGGGAAAAAGGCTTTGTGGACATCTCTGCCTCGTAAAGCCTACCTGGGGTGAATACATCTTTACCTACCTAAACGCTGATCCTGTTTCAAGCAGCAAAGCTAATGTTTTAACTTCCTAAGGACATTATTTAGCCCGGATCCTGCCCAGCCCAGCATTCGCGCTTATCTGTGCCCACCCAAAGCGCTCCAGCAAGGGGGGCCTTGTTGCTGGCTGTCCCCTCTGCTGCAGAAATTTGGGGCTCAGGAGATGGTGATGCTCCCCTCAGGTTTTGCAGGATGGCAGCCTCCTGTGCAGCTGGGTGGGCGCGAGGGGCGCAGCATGGCACGGGGGACAGCAGGATCCTGGGGGCTCCTCCACACTGCAGGCACTGCACTTTCAGGGGGCAGCCCAAGCCCCTCTCTTCCAAGTGGTGATGTCTGCGTCCCCTCCACGAGATGGGTCCATGCCAAGTGGCCATTCTCTCCAGGAAATCAGTTTTCCAGCTCAAAAAGGCAGTCATTATCCTCGAGCAGAGCATCCGGCCCCTCTCGGAGCCCATAATAGAGGTCATCCTCCTCCCCGCTGCCTTTGCGGGGAGAACCAGGGTGCTCTCCCCCCGCCAGGGAGCTGGTTGGGGTGCAGCTGGAGCGGGCAACAGATGGTGGGGGGGGTCGGCCCCATGGCACGGGGCTGCCGGGCACGGAACCCTCCAGCGACGGCGTGTCCATGTCCTCCAGGAGGCATGCCAGCGGCGCGTCCCCTGGGGCCAGCTGGGGGGGGCTGCAGGAACAGAGAGGGCTGAGGGGCAATGGTCAGGGTGGGGGTTACACTAAACACAGCTGGGCTGGAGCTGGGGTTTCCCCCAGAGCCGGCGGCTGCTGGGCTCAGCATTGCTCAGCCAGTGTCCCAGCATCACCAGTCCCCTTGCTGGGTGGCTGGACCACCCCAGGAGGGCCCTATCTCAGCCCCCGGTGCCTGCCTTTACAGGGACAACCCCCCTGCCAGGTTCCCTCTCCAGCCCATGGGACAAAGTAGTGGCTGCCCTCACACACTGTGCCCACATCCTGAGGAGAAAGCAGAGCACCCCCCTCCCAGCTGTAGATGCATTTTGGCAGAGGGGGTGCCTGAGTCCTACGCCCCGAGGCTGCACAGTGACCCCCATCACCTGCAAAGCACTTTTGGGGTCTCCTGGACCAATGCATGGGCATCACACATGGCATCTGGTTTGAGGGACACATACTGAGCGTCTCATTTCTATCAAAATCTGACCAGGAACTTGGGATTTATGCTGGTGAGGGACATTGTTTATATTTATAAAATGAAATAAAAACAAAATGCAAATCACAACCAAAGGCAGCCCAGATTTGCTCCTGATTTCACCCTGGTAAATAATTTGGTACTGAGAGACCCCATGGGCTGAGGCACTGTCCAGGCTCCAGCTGGGAGGTCTGGTGGTTGCTGCTATGCGAGCAGCAAAGACCCCTCTGCCCCCTCTCCCTCCCCCCACACTGGGGGTCTGAGCCCCCCCCAGTTTCACCCCGCATCCCACTGGTGCCACCTCGACCCCATGGGCCTCACGTACCAGCTGCCTGCCGCCGTTTCCAGCCGAGGCGCCGGCTCTCCGGGGTGGTCTCCAGCACCACCCAGCTCCCAGTGGACCTCTGCTTTCGCCTGCACCGCCAGCTGGGAGCAGCTGCGGGGTCTGGGCTGGGCCGTGGGAGGGAGCGGGCCCGAGCCCACCACCTGCCCCTGGATCTGCTCGTAGGACGGCAGGCTTTTCTCGTAGGTGCTGGTGGCCTCTTGGTTGGGGCAGGGTACAATCAAGCTGCGGGTGAAGGAGGAACAGGGTGCTGAGCAGGACCTGGACACCCACAGAGCCAGGAGATACTTGGGGACACGCACATAGGACTCCATCAGGTGCTTTAGAGGACACTGAAGCCACACCACTGCCCATGCCAGCAGCAGAGCCAGCAGGTCCTTGCAGGGGGGTGCCTGCAGGAACGCAGCTAGACGCTTTGCACTGTCCAGCATCGCTCTGGCTCTGGCCCTGGGGGACTCAGCCAGCCCTTGCCTCCCCCACCCCGGCCCCTGCTTGTCATTTTTTGCTGCAATAGGTGTAGTTGTCCCCGGTGCCAGTGTGCTCAGACACTGCCCTTGTCCCCAGGGGCATACAGATAACTGTGTGTACAGATGAAAACACCCACCGAAAGGAAAACGGCCGCTGGGGCCGGGCACTGGGACCTACCAGGTGTCCCTCTCCGGCAGTACGATGGGTTTGTGGTCCAGGAACCGCTCGGCCTCGAGGTCCACGGGGACGAATGTTATCTGGGGGGAAAAGAAACGCAGCGCCCGGGGGGCTGCGCTGGGCATCACAGGGACCCTCAGCCCTCGTTAGCGGTAAAAAGTCTGGGGTGTCCCTTCAGCTGGGTTTTCGGTCTTTTCCCAGCCCGTTTGAGTGTCTTGCTTGGAAATGTTTTTTTGGGGGGGAATCAATAAGTGATTGAATGAACCCACCACTGCCTCGCTCTCAGCCCCTTGTTCCCTGCAGGGTCATGCGTGTCCCTGAGCCCAGGGGGGATCCCAGGGCCCACGAGGGAGGTCAGTGGCCAGGGACAACCCCGAGGGTGCCCCATCCTTGAGCCCTGAGCACAGTGACAATGCCACATCTCCCTCCTTGCCGGGGCTGAGCTCAGCTTTTGGGGGAGCTGGGGTCAGCTTCACTGCAGTCCCAGGGGACTCGGCCGGTCCTGGGGGTCCCAGCTGGTCCCGAGTCCTGGGGTCCCATGCACCAACCCACATTTTGGGGTGCAGCCAACCTGTTGATGGGCCATCCTGCAGCACTGAGATCAGCCTCGCAGCCACCCGCTCCTTGGAAAAAAGCCTTTTCTGCCAGCTCCGTTTCCCGGGGCAGGGACGCGTGGCCACCCTGCCGTGCTGAGGGTGCCCTCTGCCAAGGAGACCGGCAGGTGAGGGCTGTGCTTGGGGGGGCTGGGACCCTCCGGACCTCCATGGCCATGACAGCCCCTTCTTCCAAAGCCCTGGGAGCCTGCGAGCCCCCACAGGTGCAAGGAAGGGGCTGGTTTGGGGGGGATTTGCATGGGAGAGGTGAACACGAGCTGATTTCCTTCGGTTTATTCCCCACTGCTGCTTGGCAAAGACCCAGCCTCGGGGCACAGGGGGGCGAGGGAGAGGGGCCACATCCTGCAGACATCAGCAGGGAGGTGTAGCAGGGTGAGAGCCCCCAAACCAACACTCCCGCCTCCGGATCGCCCCAGCTGGCTTTCTCCAGCGGGACCTGCCACTACCCCACCCTATGGATGGGGAAACTGAGGCACAGCCTGAGGCTACACGTCCGCAGTAGCGAAGTGGGACAAGGAGCTGAAGCCACCCAAACCCGGCTGAGTCCTCGAGCTCCCCGAGGCGCACGGTGGTGGGACAGACCCTACCTTCGGGTAGCACTGGCACATGCTCCAGGTGATGCCCACAGCTATGAGCAGGATGCCTAGGGTGCAGAAGGTGATGTAGATCTGGGGTTTTTCCACGCTCATGATGAACATTCCCGTCATCACCAGGAAGAAACCCAGCATGATGAACCCGTAGCGAAAGGTCTTCTCCTCGGCCATGGGCACCGGGTGGGAGAGGCAGGGGAGGAGAGATGCCGGGAAGCCCGTTTACTTGCGGCTGCTGCCTGCTGAGCACACCTCCAGAGTAAGGCAAGGAGTGGTTTCTTTCTCTGGAGGCTGCCAGGGGCTGAGGATCAGCTGCACGTTGAGCCTGGTCCTGCCCAGGGCTGAGCCAGCCAGTTTTTAACGGGTTTGTAATGAATGCAAACACCGACCCGCCGTTCACACTCCAGTGAAGCCGCCTGGCACGTGTCCGGGTAACCTTCCCTGAAGGCATGCGCAGCCAGACCCCATGCCTGGGGAAGGGACGGGGAGGGAGAAGGGGGCACGGTGGCAGAGACGGGGACCTGGAGAGCAGCTGGTCCCGACGGGACTTTCCCAGCCCTGGGGGCTGGAGCTGGACTTGGCTGTAAATCGGAGCTGGCAGAGCCCCAAAATAAGGGGGACGCCAGGGCGCAGCATGTTTTCAAGGGCTGTGGGGCTGCAGCAGGGGAAGACGGCGTGCTCCAGGGTCTTTTTGGAGGCTGGTGGGTTGGGAATAGCCCCCACCTTGCTCCGGCTGGGTGCTGGGGAAGCACCGGTGGGGCTGCCTCGGTGGGGCAGCAACCAGGCTGCGAAGGGTAGGCTAAAGCCGGGGAAGGATGGAGCAGGATCGGTCCACCCAGGGGAGTGAGGACATAACGTCCATGTGCCCTGTGTTTGCTTGAGATGGAGCAGGGGCGTTAAAAGGTGTCCCCTTCCCACCGCACATCTGACAGCCAGGCAGTAGCAGTGGCTTTAATTAGCCTTCGATTTGTTCCCTTGCTTGCCTGCCCATGTGGAAAAGCATGTACCTGGCTTATGAAAAATAATATATTCTATTATAAATAATGTTATATTTGGCTGTGGCTCCGCAGCCACTCTGCAGCCCTGCAGGTCTGCAGGGGGCCCAGGGCAGCCCGTTATTTCAGTGGGATGGAGCAACCGGCAGCAGCCCCCGATGAAGTTGGCATTTCCTCTGGGCAAGGCTGCAAACCCGTCCGTGGTGGGCAGGGAGGGGGGTGAGCCACTCAGGGTGTCTTTTTATAGGATACTGCCTGAAATGCCAAGTGCACTTGGATGCCCTGAATGCATGCACAAGCCACTGAACACCTCTAAACCAAATGAAGTGAAGCATGGGAGTCAGTATGTGGGGAAAGCAAGGTGGAAGGGATGGAGATACAGCTGGAAGGGGCATTGAAAAGGCAGAGGAGCGAACAGGGCAGCACGGAGCTGGTTTTTCTATGGCCGGATTCCTTGTTCTTTGCTGCAGTTTTTATTATATAGCTCTTGCTTTGAGTGTGCAGCCCCTGACCTGATACGAGCTCCCCACGGTAGGTCAGAGCAGGGAATGCAAAGCATCTGCAACCAGCAGTGGTTTTATTAAAAATACGAAGGCTTTCAAACATGCCAGTTACCCCCACCGCTCCGAACACATCGCCCACAGGACCCACAATCCTGACAGCCCTGGACTGATCGCTCGGAAAGAGAGACGGACCCCTCTGCCTTCCCCCTCCTTGCTCACCCTCCTCTCACCCCAGCAAAGGAAGGGACTCGGTTTAAAGCCGAGGGACCGGGCAGCCACTCTCAGAGTCCCGGCCCCCCATCGCCACCAGCTCAGACGCCCCGGATGCTGATGTTTTCGTAACTGGGGGGAGGCGTTGCCTGCAGCTCCCCGGGGTGCTGGGTCTCCAGCCAGGACAGGCTGGGGCGGAACAAGGCGCTGTCGGAGGAGCTGCGCCGGTGGCCACCCTGCCAGCTCTCGTCCTCCTCCAGGTAGCGATACAGGGGCGGCGTGAGCTCCTCCTTCCTCCTCGGGGGCTGGACGTAGGCTGGGGCGCCATGGGCAGGTCTGCAGGTCAGGGCTTCTTCGTAGGTCGGGATGGTGCTGGTGTCCCAGGTACTGCAAAGGAAGAAGAAACCCAGCAGCGCACCCTGTCAACCGGAGCATCCCAGCACCCAACAACTGGAGCACCCCAGCACCTGTCAACTGCAGCATCCCTGTGCCCTCTCAACCAGAGCATCCCAGTGCCCCATCAACCAGAGCATGGTGGTGCCCCATCAACTGGAGCATCCCAGCACCCCATCGGCTGGAGCATGCCTGAGCATGGTGGACATGCACGTGCTGGGGACAGCACATGGGCAGGTTTTGCATGCCTGAGGTCATTGGAAAACTGTGTCAGTGGCTTCCTGGCACCAGGAGGGTGAAGAGCCATGCCGGAGGAAGGGCATCATCCATCAGACCTTGCAACAAAGCAACATCGCCCAGTTCCCACTGAGTTTATTAACCCCTCACCCAAGAAGAGGAAGGGCAGCCTGGCAAGGCAGCCTCGAAGAGCTGCCACCTCCGGTGTTAAGAGCAACAACTGCAGGTGTGACTGACCACAAAACAGCAGAGGTGCTGGCTCTCGAGACATCTGCCCCTTCATTCTGCACTGCGCTGCTTCCCACAGGCAGGAGAGCATCCTTGTCGTCTGCCTAACCCCAAAGTCACTCCCCAAAGCACAGAGGCTGCCGGCAGCTGACTGAGTGGTTTGGCATGAGCAGCCAGGTGAGAGCTAGGCATCCCGGTTCAATGCGGTCATACCCCACCCTCATGCCCGCCGGAGCCCTCCATGCACCGGCCAAGCCTGGTGCCACTTCCAGCAGCGCTTTGCTGAGCAAACACGGCTTGTGTACAGGGAAAACCTCCACCCAACCTTTGCCCTGCGCACGGCCGCTCTCGACACCCTACGAAACGGTGCGGTCCCGAAGATGGGGAGGCTTTGAAAAAAACCCACCGTCCGCTTGCTTTTGCAGTTGAAAACCCAGCGAGGCATGCTCGGGGAGGCTGCAGGCACCAGGGGGGCACAGCTTGTCCAAAGGGAAAGCTGCAGGGCTCTGCAGGCATGCCTCCATCCCAAACTCAGCAGCCCCCTGTCCCGGACTTGCTGCCCCGGGCATCCGCACCGTGGCTTTCGCCAAACAGCCTCAGCTTGCAAAGGGATGCTGCCTTGGAAATGCAGAGAGGGCGGTTTCTGCCAGCACAGGATGTCACGCTGCCAGCCCTCTGCGGAGCGGCGTTTTCTGCTTTGGAGGGCTTTGCTGCGCGAATGCCAGCGCAGCTGGGGCTGCAGGAGCTGCTGCAGCACCAGCGATGCTGGGGCAATGCCTTCCTGTCCAGCACGGGAGCTCAGGGAGCTCAGGGAAGGGGACACTCCCCATGGGGAACACAGCAAAGCCCTCCATGGGAGGAGGAAAACCCCCCAGACTGCCCAGACCAGCTTATGATCTCACCCCCTGATATTCACATGGGCACCGAAACGCCCAGAGAACCACAAACGTGCCTCCCACCCCGACTGAATTTTTATGGTTTTATGTTCTTAAGTTTCTTTTAGTGCTGCTTTTCCCCAGAGCCTGATTTATGCTGGAGCCAAGATCTTTGCTGTGACCCCATAAAACAGCACTGGGAAGGGCCGGCTGGCTCGGCTTCCACAGCAGTCTCTGGAAAAAAACCCTTTTGATCAAAAAACTTTTAAATCAAGAAGTGGGAATGAATCTCAGGCTCACACAGGAAGAGTCTGGGGACCCAACAAGCAGCAGTGGTGTTTGGGGGGCGAGGGGTCTTCCCACACCCCAAAACAGGCTTCATAGAGGGACCCTCCACCTGCACTCCCATCTCAATGCCAATCTGAGGATTATTTTCCTTCTTTTTTTCTTTTAACTCCCTTTTAACACAGATTTTGTTTCCATTAAAGATGGCACAAACCCCATCATCCTTACAGAGCACTGCAGACCTGTGGCACCGGGGAAGGTTCCAGCAGCTGGAGGTCTGGATGAGCCCCCCACACCCAAATCCCGGCGCGCTGCCAGAAAACCTTCTGGCGGCCTTCTGCTTGGTGGCTCTGCTAAGGAGATGTCTGCCTCAGCCGGTGATGGTCCCACAGGGCAAGGAGAGCCATCTGTGGCTGAGCCGGCCGCGGGAGCAGCCAGCATGGGCATGGAGGGTGCCTGCAGGGAGGGGAGGGTGCGGGGGCTCGGGCTCGGGTTGACACTAACGAGGAAAAGCTTCTTCTCAGGGAGCAGGAGAGCACAGAACGGGGTCTGAGCAGCAGCCAGCAGCACGGCAGTGTTACTGCTCATCTGAGCTCGCCCACAAGCAAGCCTGAGAGCAGGCTTAGGTACACGGCCATGCCGGGACAGTCAAACCCACCCTCAACTTCTTCCCACCCAAGCGCCACAGGGGGTTGTGGCACCCACCTGCAGTTCCACTTCTCCAGAGGCTCCGCGGTGAAGTACTGCAGGTCCCTGGGGAAATGGTACTGGTAGCGGCGGGAGACCACCCTGGCGTTGGCTTTCACGGACCAGAGGAGCCCAAAGAGGAGGAGGATGCCACCGATGCCACAGCAGAAGAAGCTGACGGAGCGGAGCAGGGCACTGGAGGAGGAGCTGGACACCATCTCGGCTTCCCGGGGAGGCAGGAGGCGAGCCCCACTGCTGGCCGGGGTGCCCACCTCTCCATCGCTCCACCAGGCGAAGCACAGCGTCCCCGTCACCAGCAGCACGGCCCCAGTGATGGTCATGCCGTAGCGGAAAGAGGCGGCTGCCATCCTTCAGAATGAGATTTTAGGAGGGGAGAAGAGTGAGACAGGGCATGAGAGAGCCCACGTCCTGCAAGACAAGAAAGGGACCAGGTTTGAGAGGGACAAGGTCATGGAAGAAGACATATCAGAGGAGAAAACTACTGAGCTAGGACCTCTCTGGGGATTGCACACTCTTCAGCTACTTATTATTGACCATCAGAAGGGGCATTTCCACCATCTCAGATGCGAAGTCCGTGCGCAGAGCAAAGTCAGCCACCAGTCTGGACCCATAAATGTCCCAACAGACTCGTAAAAACATCCTCATTTTCAAGAAATGACCCAGCGCTCCCATGGAGACAGGATGAAAACCCCAGCCAGGGGAGCTATGGAGGCGGCTCTGGGGACTTGCATAGCTCTTGTCTTTGGGTTTTATTCCAGACTTCCTCCCAAGCTCGGAGGAATGCCAGCTGGGTTTCTGATCAAAGCAAGGCTTATGGAAGAGGTTAGGGAGAGGGACATAAATTTAAGATGTCATTGTTTCCGAATTATCAGTGCACATGTTTTCTCCTCTGAAACTGGAGGTAAATTGGTCCTGCGGTGACAGTAAATGTCTGGCATCACTGCTCAAAAGCCCGCAGCCCAGGGGATTTGGGGCTGCGCTGCCTCTTGCTTTCTCAGGGAAAAGGGCCAAGTACCATCTCTGAAAGTCACAGAGATGCTATTTCAGGGAAAAATCAACACTCAGATGCTGGCAACCCAGGGTACCTCATCTAGGGATGGCTCCTGAGACGCCAAGCCAGCGGGGACCCCAAAGAGTCTCCTGTGACTGATGGAGCCCACAATAGCTGCGGTCCCCACCATCACCAAGCTCGGAACAAGGATGGGAGCGGGAATCACTCCATATCTCCGTTAAAAGTGAGGAATGTGCTGGGTACAAGCTAAACCCTTGGAGAGGGTATGAACTACTGCTGAAGTAGGTGTTTCTGCTATGCTGGTCAGGGGGACTGAGGCAACAGACCGCAGAGATCTATGAGGGTCCTGCTGACCCAGCTATGATGTCCCATTTCAAGACACTCCAGAAGCACAGAGGGGCTTCAGTTTATTTTAAAGGTGAGGTAAATACCCTGATGCTGGAAGAGTCCGCTCAATCTTCATCCAAACGAGCTTTTGCACATCAAATTTTGCTCCCCTGGGTCAGCTCCAGCGCACATCTTCTCAACTCCCCGGCATGATCAATCCCGCAGGTGTTATCACCACCTTCACCGTCCCTATCAGGGTGGTTTGGGGTTGGTTTGACAACCAAAGAGATGAGGCAGTGCCACATGTTTCTGTTGGGTGGCACTTCTCAGCTCAATGTCACACACTGAGAGCAACCGTCCTTCCCCAGCACGGGAGAATTTGGGGAGGGGGAGCTGGTTTCTGATCTCTGAGGCTCTCACTCCCCCTTGCTTTCTCCAGCAAACAACAAGCATCTGCTCTCTGGGCTTGGGGATGCCCAGCCCCCAACCAACCAAACAGCACCAGCAACCAGGGAGGCAGAGAGGTCCCACCACGTCCCCTCTGGCCTTGCTCACTGCCCAGAAAGAAGATGCAGGTTCAGCTCCCACTTCTTGATGAACAAAAAGCTTTGGACCATGCGGGAATTAAGCACCAGCACCCCCTTACAGATTCAGTCTTGGCTGACTCCTCTGCAAGGACTTCTCGTGGTGTCAGTGCCAGTGGAGAGCCTGCACGCTGGGGGCTGTCCCGGATGGAGATGGGGCTCAAGCACAGAGGTGGATAGAGAGCTGAGTGACCCACACTCAGCCCCCACCTCTGCCTTCACCACTTTGCTTGTATGTCAGTAAAATGAAGATAACCTGGTGGCTTTGGTCTCCATTCCTCCAGGCAGGGCTCTCCTCCTACAGCGGGGACTCAAATTGTACCCTGAGATCTGGAAGTGCCAAGCCAGAGCTAAGGATGGAGCAGAGGTCCAGCACAGGCTCAGTGTGATCAAGGGCGGGTGGAATTACATTATTTCAAGCCGTTATTTATCAGATGGGCCCACTAAATGGAAAGCCAAATTACTTTGTAGTGAAAGAAACACCATCTGATCTAATCTACGTTTAATGAAGAAATCCGATGAGAAGTGGGATTTAGGAAACTTGCAGGAAGGCTGCAGGACTGGGAGCCCCGACAACACACTCCGGCTCTCGTCCCACGGTCACGAGCCCGAATTGCCGCCCGGGCTGGTGGTGGCCGGTGGTCCCCACCAGCAGCCACAGTCACCCGCCAGGAAGGAGGCGGTGTTTCTGGGCCGAGAGGAGGCCCATAATGAGAAGACATGTTTAGATGCTCCCTCCTGAATGGCAGGGGCTTGGCTGAGCTGAGACAGAGAAGGGACTGTTAGAGACCAATTAGAGATGTTGTTAGGTGCTATTAGGGATCAGCGTCCTCCAGCTCACCACCGAACACAGGCAGGACACAGCAGACAAGCTGGGCTTATGTTGCCTTGCAGCAGTAGATGCTCAGGAGAGCGCAAGGACCCTACTGACCCATGAATCCAGCTCCTTTTGAGAGCATTGCATTTTCCTGGAAAATTTTCAGCCAATATTATTTGGAAAAAAAAAAACAAACCACAACCCAAAAACCCTACAGCAAAGCTCTCGATCCAACTGCATGGAAATTACAGGTCACTCCACACTGAAAGTCTGGATTGAAACAGCACCAAGAGTTGAAATGTTCAGCTCCTGCAATCAACACTCTCCTCATTTGGGGGTCAGCCTGGTGAGGTTTGGGAGATGCTGTGATTCCCCTGCCCAGGCACGGGGAAATTTGCAGCCCCCGGCGCTGCGCACATCTGGGAGCACTGGCAGCGATGGGGAGGCGGATGTGGAGAGAAGGCGGAGAGCCTCTGGGAGGTGACGGATTGACAGCTCAAGAGAATAAACTCTTCTCTCTTGACAAAACCAGCGCAGCACGGGGAGCAATGCTAAAAGCTCCTCCAGCCTACCCGGCACATGCTCCCGTAGCGCGTGTGCGGGGGCGGCTCCTCTGCGCGGGGTGGCATTGCCATCGCACCGTCCCATTGCCAAACCCCGTCTCGGGCTGGCATGGCTCTCCTGAGCCTCTTTAAAAGACCCACAATATTTTTCTCAGTGCACCAACCACTGGAAGAAGAGGCCAAAGGAGCAGGGGTGGGAGGCAAGGTGTGATGCTGGGGCAGGACCCGAGTCCCTGCTCCTCGAGCCTGCTCCCGGCTCCGCTCCCAGGGCACTCAGCATCCTGCACATCAGGTCTCCTGCTGAGCATTTCCAGCGCAGGCTTCCCCGGAGGGGCTGTCCCTCCGAAGATGGCAATTGCTGGCTCCCAAACACCCATCTCCACCCGCCGAGCCACCCTGACATTTTGTTCTGCCCCGTCTCCTCCTTTGACCTGCTCTGAAATAGTCTTTCTGGGGAAATAGATTTGCACATTGCACAGACAAACAGATACAAATGGTAATAGTTTACATAGTTCCAGTAAGATGCTGAGAATAGCATCCCCCATATAAAGTTATGCAGATGGTGATTCATAGGGTCTACTAAGCATTACTCAGAAAACCACTCTCTTCCAGTGACACAAGAAATGAAGAGTTTTGAATCTCTCCGCCATCAAGCAGAAATACCCCCCCCCCCCCCCCCCCCGGCCCTCCCAGCCTGTCCTTCCACACCATGCGGGCTGGAGACCTTTAACTAGGCGCAGACGTGCCAAGAGGAAGGCTGGGGAGAGACACGCCGAAGCGCAAGCATGTCATTAGGAAGATTCCTTCCTGCCTTTATCTGAATTTGCTATTATTATTATTATTGTTGTTGTTGTTGTTGTTGTTGTTATTTAGGGCTTTGGTAGCCATCCAAACCACAGTAATGATGAAGCTTTTGAAAGAGCATCCGAGAAGCTCTGGCATCGTCAGCCTCTCAAACGCAGGTTCGGATGGAGGGGAGCCCTCACGGAGCGAAGCACATGTATCCCCCCCGAGCCGCTGGG